CAGATTCTTGCATCGGTACATTGATGTAGTGGGAGGATTATCATCCAATTCGACAGAATCATGTTTTTAGGTGAGACCATTATGGACATCCCTGTTAAACATGAGTTGGACCCAGTAAGCTACACGGAAGCGTGAACCGATGTGGATACAGATCGTTTTGGTGAGTTACTATGAAATCAGAGTTGGAATCTATGTATTCTAATAAATTTTGGGATCTTGTAGAACTTTCTAGTAGGGTGATTCCTATGGAAGGCAAGTTAATCTACAAAAAGATACCAGAAGATTTCTTAGTGAATAAATCATGAGTGTACAAGGGAATGTCATTATTTTTCTTAATTCTATATATTGATGACATCCTACTCATTTATAATGACGTGGAAGTTTTGTCATCAATTATAAGGTAGTTGTTCAATTACTTTTAAATGAAGGATTTTCAAGATGTAAGCTATATTCCTAGGATCAAGCTTTTGCAAGATCAGGTTAAAAGGAAAATAGGCTTATCTTAATAATCCTACATTGATAAAGTTTTGACCAGGTTTGGTATGCATAACTCAAAGAATGAGTTCTTGCTTTATTGATATGGATCGCTCTCTCTAGTAAGTAGTTTTTCAAGACTAGCAGAGGAGATTGAGCAAATGAGACTGGAACAATATGTTTCGGCATATGAGAGTCTTATATATGCCATGGTCTATACCAAACAGGACATCCGCTACATGGTAGGGATAGTCAGTAGAGATCAGTCCAATACTGGACTTGACAACTGGTCTATTGTGAAAAATATCATTAAGTACCTAAGGAGAATCAATGATATCATACTCATTTATGGATGTGATGATATGGTCCTAGTCAGGTATGCTAGTTCTGATTTTCAATCAGAAGTAGATACTATGAGGTTCATGACTTAGTGTATGTTCACTTAATGGAAGGGAAATCAGTTGGTAGATTGTCAAGCAGATTTCAACTGTTGACTCAAACCTGCAGGTGGAACATATTGCAGCCTTAAAGGTGGCAATATAAGCCTATTGGTTTGATCTCACTGATTTAGAGGTTGTGGAGCATACTAGCCTGCCTATCGAGCTATATTGTGACAATAGTGCAGAAGTAGTCCAAACCAATGACCCAAGGTTCCATAGAGGAACAAGATACACTGAGAGGAAGTATCATGTTCGACATGATATTGTCCGGCAAGAAAATGCACTTGTAGTTAAAACATTGCATTGGAACACAACTTTGTTGATCCATTATCAAAGGTGTTATTGATCAATAATTTTGATCATCATCTGGATAACATTGGAGTTAGGTGCAATTTGAATTGGCTATGAGGGCAAGTGGGAGCTGTTGGGATTTATATGCCCTGGCATAGCAAATTCCTATCTGGATTGTATTGACATATGTTCCTGACATATCTGAAATATTTATGATTTATATAATTGGTGAATTCAATGTATTATATTTCAATTCACTATGAAATTGATAGTGTCCAGTTAATTACAAGAAATATTTATATATATGTATGTGATGACAATTAATGCATGATATATAAATAGTAATTATAAATTGTTTATAGTCGGTAATTATGGATGGACTCATAATTAATTAAGACTTGAACTGGATCCGCGTTAGGTTGAGATATATTGCGAGAGCCGTCGTATGCAATTACTCCCTATTACCGTCATGGCATTTGACTCTTAAGCATGAGAAAAGTATAGACTCTTTTATTAATTAATAATTACTTTGATTTGTTCGGCGGATTCTTCGGGATCCTTAGACCGACACTTTGGGTAGTTATGTAATTAATAGTTAGAGGGTTATATTTTCAATATTTGCATCATTGCTACTTGTATTTATTTTGTATTGATTATGGTTGATCACAAAGTAAATTCGAAGGCCTTCGTGTGTTTTTAGACAAAATGATTTATTATATATTTATTTATTTAAATTATTATTTTTGTCAAATAAATGTTTTATTGTGATCGAGCCAGAAATAATCAAAGGTACCAAAATAAATATATTAATTAAGTAGTCGGATTGATGGCTATATTTATCCGATAACTAATTATGCATAGAGGGGTCAAAGTGCAATATTGACTTAGAGGTTATTTATTATTTAATTGGAGTTCAATTAATTTCTTTTAGTGGAGTAGAAATTAATTTATGAATTAATTGAATAGGGTCCATGGACCGGGCCAATTATTAATTCATTGTAGCCAATAAAATAATAGGTCCAATGGATTCTCACTCATAGCCCAACTTGATATTGGAATCATATTAGATTTGAGACATATGAATTAGAGATGGAGAAGGATTTGTTGTTTCCTTTTCTTTATTTTTGTGTTGCCTATAAATATACATGGTCTATGTATATTTTAAGGGGTGATTTTTATGAGAAGGAAAAAGGAATAAATTTTCTCTCTCTAGAAAATTAGGGTTTATGTTCTCATCTAATGGAGGCTCCCACAAGCCTAGTTTTCCAAGGTCATTCAAGGAGGCTTATGAGTGATTCCTAAAGGCAAGACCATTACCAAGAAGATGGAGATCCATGGAAAAGATGTCTAGCAAAAGGGATCTACAATAAGTGAGAACATTCACTTTAGAGGAGAGATCTGAGGTTTACTCAAACCTTGATATAAGTATTCAATCTTTTAGTTGAATAATACATCATATTTTATTTTATTTTTTGCATAAAACTTGTCTCTATGTGATGAATCAAGATCTATGAATTTAAATCCCTCAAAAAGTTTTTAAAACTAGCACGTTTCCCAACACAAACGTCTCGACCTCAAAACATTTAACATTTATATTTAATTATAATTTTATTCCATCAAACGTCTCGACCTCAAAACATTTAACATTTATATTTAATTATAATTTTATTCCATCAAATGTCTCGACCTCAAAACATACTTGTTCTATTCCATCAAAGGAGCGAATTTTCTCAAACTTGTGAACCAGAGTTGGTCCCATGGCAATGGACAAAACTACAAATTTTATTCAAACAGTTCAACTGATCAAATGTTAAATGGCTTTCGTTTTTATGATGCATAAATGACTTTTTTTAAGGGACACAATGGATGCTACTTCAAAATCGCCATAATCTAATTCAATTTTAAATTTGCAACACAAACAACTCTTTCCACAGCCATAATTCAGCTTCTTTCATCTAAAATTTATGTAGTCTTGTATGGAATTGTATATAGTAGTCTAAAATTATATAGAATGATAGTAGTCTAGTGGTATAGAAACCATTCATTAAAAGTGTTTTAGAATCTTATTCTAGAATACTCTTATTTCTTAGTCATTGCATCGTTAACACTTGTACACATGTAGACTATTCATAGCAAATCCATAGCCTATATATGTATATTGGAGTTCAATTTTTTCTCATCACCAAGCAACCAAGCCTCACTCACTTAGTAGTAGTCTGGTAGTATAGAAACCATTCTTTAAATTGTTTTAAAATCTTATTCTAGAATACTCTTATTTCTCAGTCATTGCATCATTTACACTTGTACTCATCTAGACTATTCATTGCAAATTCATAGCCTATATATGGAGATTGGAGTTCAATTTTTTCTCATCACCAAATTACCAAGCAACCAAATCTCACCCTGTCAAAATCTCTCTTGATCATTTGCTCCTACCAAGCACAATTATGTACTCTTAGTTGTAAGTTTGAGAAAGTTTACCTTTATAAGTATAATAATAAAATTAGTGAATACAGTAACATGGTAAACATCTTAGGGATTGAAACTCACTATTAAACTTTACTCAATTAGCAGATACATGCTTGTAAGGCCCATATTGAAGTCTTGTATGAACCCAAGTAATTTCTAGCATAATAGTTTGTGAAATAATATATATGGATCAAAAAGGGATTTACTTAGAATATCCCCCATTAATCATATATATTAAAGGCACAAAACCCAAAAAGATTTCACATATTAATTGCAAGTTGTAGCCGTCACTAGCATTTGCTGTGAATTACTCGTATACTGTCCATCAAGATTTGATTTAAATATATAATGTTGTACAGTTAGCAATGAAAAGTGCAACAACATTTTAATATGTTATAATTGTCCAAATGACCTACCAAGCTACCAAAAACTTTGTCCTACACCACAAGCAGTTTATATATAGTAACCCACTTGGCAATATTTTACGTTCACCCAATCATGTAACAACTTCGTATATTTTAAAAGTAAAATGTGAAAATTTAAGTTATTTTTAAAAATAAAAAGTCAAATCATTTCTTGCGTGAAGGGAATTCGTGATCTTTTTGTGTATTAAAATAATGTCATTTAAATGCACGTAGTATTCAGTACAAATCACATACACATCCGATCCAGAATTATGATTCGATGTAGAAATGAATGTGAGAGTTTCTTTAGAAGGATAAAAAAAAAATTGAAGAAAGGGAAAAAAAGATAACATGTTTAGATTGTTATTTTTACTATTGCCGGCTGTACTAACATACATCTGCTGGACTGTGTTAGTAATTTTATATTTTTATGCCTATTTTAGTAATTAACCTGTTAAATAATGACGTGGCGAAATGTTGAACGTTAGTTACTTATAATCCTTGTGATTAGGCCAATCAATTTGCAGATCACAGCTCAACCGTAGATTTCGCCTCCAAGTAACAAAAGTCAAAGGTTCGTCGGCCGCTGACTCAGTGCCTCGTCAGTAGGTCCCACATTCTCTGCATACCACTCTAAGAATTACTTAAATTGCTGTGTTATCCACGTGAAGCTGACTCATTATGCAACCACAACAATTTTCATCATTCTCTTTGAGGCGCGTGTTGAGTACCGGAAGATCTAAACAAATGAAATGTAGCGTGTAATACACGCGCTAAGAGGGCTATGGAACTCTATCGTTAATGTGATACTATCTTTGGAACGTGTCTTTTGGATTAAATTAGTTAAATACAAAGTTAGATTTTCAGTTAAGGACTCCAAAGCTTCCAAATATCAGGGAAGGACTTCCTTAATGTTACTACAAATACCCTTCACACACACTGCCTCTGTCGCACCCATTTCTCTGGTATAGCTTTTTGCTTCTCTTTCCATTTTCTTCAACAATGACTATACTCATCGAGCAACCTGAGTTTGGTACTATTTCTAATTTCTTTACACACATATATATATTCGAATTATTACTTATATATGTAGATGTTCATTCATTTTAATTAGCAAAATCAATATATATATATATATATATATATATATATATATATATATATATACTTTCAAACAGGTTCACAAATAGAGGACAAGAAGGTAGCTTCTGATACATTGGAATTGGATGGAGGATTTGTGATGCCAAAAACCATACCAAACGACGATGGCTTTGAAATGCCGAAAACCAATTCATTTGGCAACTCATTTAGGTATATATATATATATTAATTTAATTGCTTAAGTACCAAGTTGGTTCAAGCATATTGGTTGGTTTTAATTTCATGGAAAATATTGTAACATGAAAATGCTCAACAGGGACTACGACGTTGAATCTGAAAGGCAAAAAACCGTCGAAGAGTTCTATCGGTTGCAACACATTAACCAAACATATGACTTTGTAAGTTCACCATTAATATATTTGTCTTAATTAAGCAATCCAAATATATGTGTACGTGTGTGTGTATATATATATATAAACTTTATCTAAAAAGTGATAAAATGTAAAGCAGGCATTTGATAGCTTCAATGCAAAATGTAGGTGAAGAGGATGAGGGAAGAGTACGGAAAATTGGATAAAGTAGAGATGAGCATATGGGAATGTTGTGAACTCCTCAATGATGTTGTGGATGAAAGTGATCCGGACTTGGATGTACCTCAGATTGAGCACTTGTTGCAGACAGCTGAAGCTATCAGAAAAGACTATCCTAATGAAGATTGGTTGCACCTAACTGGCCTCATTCATGGTATATACATAATTGATAATTATACATATATATATATACTAATTTTTTTATTTTTTGTTTACATGTTTTTGTAATTCTTATGAATGTATGGGTTTCAGATCTTGGAAAGGTTCTTCTTCATCCTAGTTTTGGAGGCCTTCCTCAATGGGCTGTTGTTGGTTAGTATATATCTATTCAGTTATGACCAATATATATATATATATATATATTAAATTTCAGTTTCTAACCAATGTTGAGATTATATAGGTGACACATTCCCTCTTGGTTGCGCTTTCGATGAATCAATTGTTCACCACAAGGTATTTCTTCTTCAACCAAACTTAATTATCTGCATGCAACTTATTTTTTAGTCATCTAAGTTTGATAAAACTTTATAAATATAAATATATATTTGGCAGTATTTCAAGGACAATCCAGATTCAATTAACCCGGCTTACATCACTGAGAATGGAATTTACTCTCAAGGATGTGGTCTCAACAATGTAATGATATCATGGGGGCATGATGACTACATGTACTTGGTATATATATTTATATATATGCCTTTTCGATCAGTTTTCACACAAAACCCATATTAAGCTTAAAAATTTAAATCTTTACAATTACTATAATTGAACCATCAATACTTTTTTCTCGGATTCACTCTTAGGTGGCTAAAGAAAATGGAACAACTCTACCTTCTTCAGGATTGTTCATCATTCGTTACCACTCTTTTTATGGTAAAAAGATCAAGTCCACGTTGTCTTAACCCGAGAATAACTATCCTAACTTAAAATTTACTTAAATTTGTATTTAATTATTCTTCAGCTTTACATAGATCAGAAGCATATAAACACCTGATGAATGAGGAGGACGTTGAGAATTTGAAGTGGCTTAAAATATTTAAGTAAGCTTCTCTTCTTTTATCAACAAAATTCATATATATATATATAGAGGTGGTAATAGAATTAGCAAAATTAATTTAACATTTGTTACTTCTTTTCAAAAAATAAAAATAAAAAAAATATTGTGTGCAGCAAATATGATCTTTACAGTAAGAGCAAAGTTCGGGTTGATGTCGAAAAGGTCAAGCCATACTATATTTCTCTCATTGAAAAGGTGACAATTATTCCTGAATTGGGTACATGTTACATTTTGATTTCCATCTTTCTTAATTGGAAATTATTTATTGCAGTATTTCCCGGCAAATCTCAGGTGGTAATTAACATCACACATTGAAGGAAATTTGGGTCAAGAAAAGGCACTCTTGTGATGCTTGGCTTAGATACACTGTTTTCATGTAATAAAACCACGCAACAGAAATTGAAAGGGTTCTGCCAATTTTTAATTATTTGTTGTGGAAATTTGTTATCTGTTAATGATTTAATTAGAGTAATTTGTGGAGAGTATTTAATTTCAATGCTTCTAATTAAGCTCTTTGAGCACTGTGAGTCATATTTTCATTTACTTAATCACAAAAGTATAATGAAAACAAAACCGGTATACCACTAATAAGTACAAGAATTGAAACAAATTAACTGCATTGACAATATAAATATGTACTTGTGCCATTTTACAAATTTAAGGCTACCATTTTATTTTCAGATATATATCATAGGAAATATCAATCCAACCACAATTTCTGAAAGGAGCCCTTATAACCATGAATTTACAATAGACTCTGAAATCACAAATTTTTTTTTTAATGACCCTTGAATTTGGATAGCACAGAAGAAAAAAATATGAAAGAAAGAATTATAATATGTTCAGTTGCGTCTTGAAATAAGAATTGGAGAAAATTCTTCCTATGTGACTATCTTTAGGCCATGTTGAAATGACAAAATGTATTCGTCGTAGATGGCTACCATCTTCCTCAATAAACCATTTACGACAATTAATTTGTCTGAATTATTTGTAAAGGTGAATGGTATAATTGCAATTCAAGGCACATCCAAATAGGTCCTATAAAAATAAAATTAGACTAATAATTTTGATGCTAACGCTTACTGCATTATTTTTTAATAATAATTTTCTTGATTATGGATAAAAACAAAATTCCCTTCCATGCTTGGTTGCTTGCTGACTGATGATTTTAATGATTTAAAACATGATTAATGAATGTACGCGACAAGGTCTGTCATTTTCAAATAAAATTTTAAATTTCTTAAATTATTGTTGAATCGTGAGAAATTGATTTCAAAATTTTATCTAAATTTTTTTTCTAACGCCCAATGTCAAGCGCCAATTTAATGCTCTCAACATTAAAAAAAAAGAAAAAAAAAAGTTCTATTTATGAAATTATTTCTTTCTAGTAATTTTTAAAAGTCAATGATTTTTTACATATTATGCTTTATCTGATTTACAATTAGGCTATTTGGTTCCATTAGGCTGGGATTGGATTGAAATTGTATTGTGATTGCAATTTCATGATATTATAATCTCACCAATTCAATTTCAGATCCATTGCTTGGATGAACTTTGGCATTCAAGTGTAATTGAATTCCAATTATAATTTAATGGTTTGGATAGCATCATCGATTTGGATTGAATTAAACAAAGTAAATAAATATGTATAAAAAATTATATGAACACATATGGTATATAAGACAAATATGAATCAAGATTGAACTACAATATAAAATTACATGAGAGGCTAATTTATTTTTAAAATGAAATCTTAGGGGGAAAAAGTGTGATAAAAGAGTGATGAATACTAGAAAAGTACTGTCCAAAATCTTAAATTTCTTGTTTCATAATCCACCTCCCAACAAGAAATTTAAAATTTACATGTATGTATGTATATATATATATATATATATATACATACATATAAAATAACGCATCAATACATAAAGAGGTAACTTAATATGAAGTCCACCCATGCCCCCTATGTACCCATGATATATAAATTTTATTTATTTTAATATGTAATTCCACTCTTTATCACCCATAGCCTTTATCTTACATATAATTTTTTTGACATTTTTTATATTCCGTGTGATATCTCGAATCAAAAGGAAACTGCATGGAATTTTTTAGATATATTTATCAAAGAAATGAAATCAAACAAACAATGGCCAAAACTATTCAAGACATTTCATTTTTTTTATTTTAATATTTTCTTTGTTCGACGAAATAATTAAAAATAAAATTTGATGATCACTTTCTGCCAGTTCTATTAGCCCATATAAGATAAATTTCAATTAGAAGACAAGTTCAATTCAACAAATAAGAATGAATAGTCCACACTCTAAAATATGCACATGGAATTTTCATCACCTAATAGTATAGCTATTAATAAAATGTGAGTTATAGTTCCCAAAACGGACACATATTTTGGGACGAATGGAGTATTAAACATTATTCCTTTTGCTGAAATCAAAGATTTTAGTCTCTTTTTTTTTTTGGTTTTTTTTTTCTTCACATTGAGTGTGTTTGATAGCCAAATAAGTAACTAAGTCTGCTATGATTTGTAATGATTATCATTTGATTTAAAAATTTAAGTTGTTAAGTAACACTACGTATCCGTTTTTATAAACCCAAGACACTCTTTGTTCATATTCGATGTAAGATGACCCTTCAAATATTTGCCATAATTTTGATATGACAACCCAAAGAATTGGGCCAACAACAGCAAACTTGGACAGGCTAGGTTTGGGCCATGATGATACCCTAGTGATCACCTTATTGTGGATCTATTGCAAGATTCCGAATGGTAAAACTACACTATCCCTATCATCCATCACACAAGTATCACAATGGGATGAATTTTTGCTTGAAAATTCATCCTATAATCTATTGATCACCTTATTGTTAATATAATTTGCTTGAAAAAAAAAAAAAAAAGTATGACAATGGGATGAATTTTCAAAATTCTCATCCATGAAAAGTTGCATGGTGATTGACCTGAAAAAATTATGGTTTAAATAAAATAAATAAATAACTAAAAGGGTAGCTAATGATTTAGAATTTATTTTATGTCTCAAGCTCGACGTTGAAAATGTTATAATTACAATTTTTATAAAATGTTTAAATTGTTAATGAATCGGTGTTCTTCTGGTGCAATTTCATTTGGCATGTTGAGAGGTAAATTTATAAGTAAAATCAAAGTATGAATTCCGATTACCAATTGCTTCAAAATTAAACTTATAAATAATAAATCTAAAATTAAACATGTATTAAACTCAAACTATAAATATCAAAATTACAACAACCATAAGATGGATGTGAGATCAATAGACATCTAGTCCAATGGTAGAACCTCTTCATTCTCGAAAAGGATAAGAAGAGTTTAAGGCGGTATGTGAACAAAATGTTTCTGGCTAAAAAAAAAAGATTAATTTCACTCACACCCCCTCAAATTTAGCCAAATATTATATTAAAACACCTTTCGAAAATTACTATCATTCACGTTACAAAATTTTTATCCCTTTTTCACTCACACTCCAAAAATTACTTTTCAATGTTGTCAAAACACTTTTTTTTTTTAAGTAAAATGACATTATTACCCTTTTTACTTTTGTTTTGACTTACAAAAGAATTGACTTATGTATAAAATGACTTAACTACCCCATAATACCCATGTTAAGTGACCAAAATACTCATTACTCTATCAAAACTATCCAATCTTCTCTTCTCACCACTCTGTCTCCGCCCACCAGATCACCAAATTCCATTTTTATGTCACTGAAGCTTGAAATAAAAAATAAAAAAATAAAATTTTATATTATTCTCATATTGTCCTTTTGCACACCATCACCACCACACCCACATTAGTCACCAGGGAGTAGCCAGGATTTTGAGGTTGGGGGAGGAGAAATTATAAGTAATGTTACTTAGCTAGAACTTTTAGGAAAAAAATATATATTGCGTATGCAAAAATATTTTACAAAAAAAAAAAAAAAAAATTGGTTATTTAAACAAGCTTTTTATCAAACTTTTTAAACAAACACCAATAAGATTTATGCCAAAATTATAAAAAAATTTAATTAAAAAATAAGAATTTAATTTTAAAAAAAATAAGAAATTCATGTAATTCTTGCAAATTTTTTTTTTTTATTATTCATTCTTAAGAAGCCAAGTATTAATTTTATACTATACATGCTATATTGTTTTTATTTTTACCTATACTAAAAAAAAATTCTAAAAAATTAGGAGGGGCCCAAGGCCACCCCCCAGTCCCCCCTTAGCTCGCCCCTGCCAGTCACACACACACAATCTCACGCGTATATCACCAGACCACGGGACCACGGAAGAATACAAATTTAAATATATAATATAAAAATTGAATGAGTATGTAGAATTTAAATATACTATATATATAACATGTAGAACTTAGAGGAGCTAAATGGATATGTAGAATTTTTGACAACATAAAAATTGAATTTGCACAAAATATAATTTCATACTAATAAAATAAAAAAATAAAAAAAAAACTGAGGAGATCCATAGCATCATTTCACGATTCAAAATTTATTTTTGCCTTCTCCAATATTGGGTCAGTGGGTCACATGCGGGAGTGAACACTGGACATTCACAAAATCACCAATCTCTTATTGTGTGTATAAGTTTGTGTATATATATATATATATATATAAATGGTTTGTGGAGGAGAGAGGTGAGTGATTAGTGGGTCTGTTGGACTGAGACCTTGGAAGGGAAAGGGGTGTGCAGAAGGTTTGGAGATGAAAGAAGATGAGAGTGTGAATTTTAGAGAAAGAAATAATTGGGGTAATTTTGTTTTTTAAATTTATTGATATTTTGGATTAAAATGAATTAAAAAAATTAGTGATAAAATTATTTTTTTTTTCGTATATTTTTAACGATGTAAGTAATAGACAAGTAAAATTAAACTTAATTGATAGTAATTTTTTAAAAATATTTTAATCTAATATTTGACCAAATTTAAAAGATTCAAGGGTCATGTAACAATACTAGCGCATAGCCCTTGACCAGAGCAAAGTTGTCGGCCTAAGTCGGATATTGAAAAGCAAAACCTGACATATCCACATTTGACTGCCTCCTCATGAACCCACATTGACTGAGTTCTCTCTATACTCCAACAAGAAAAAAGAGTAATATTGGAAAGTAAGAAAACATTAGAAAGAGTATGATGAAAGTCAAGCGCTCTCTCTCTCTCTCTCTCTAGCGCTCTATTCTCTATATATATGTGTCTTTAAAACTCATAGGCCAAGCCCACTGATTTTCTCTTAGAAAAAAAAAAAAAAAGAGAAAAGAGTAGGTAGGGAGTGTTCATTGCATCAAAAATTTGCAATCCAAAGTTAAAACTTTTAGTGATCAGTACGTTTGTGTCCATGGGAAGAGCTCCTTGTTGTGACAAAGCCAAAGTTAAGAGAGGACCATGGTCTCCTGAAGAGGACAGCACTCTCAAGAACTATGTTGAAAGATATGGCACTGGTGGCAATTGGATTGCTCTACCTCATAAAGCAGGTGTCTCTCTCTCTCTTCTTCATATAACTTGTTAAATTCCCACTTCATACTTTTTCTTTTTTCTTTTTTTAAATGAAGATCTGTGAAACCCATCTTCAGTCTCAACTTAATTTGTCCGAAAAATTATTCAAGATATATATATATATATATATCATATCTAAGAGAATCTCCACATAACATCAGATGGGAGATTCTCAATATTATCATGCACACGGAATTATTCAAGATTATATATGTGTGTGAAGGAAGTTCGTATTATTCAAGAATATTATGCCAGTACTAAATTTCGTGATAAATCGAGCTCTAGCTCTAGTTCTAGCTATCTCATCTTACTAATTTCACAATTAATATATATTCTACTTCAATAATATATATTGATAGGTTTTACATATATGCATGTCAGGCTTGAAGCGATGCGGCAAGAGTTGCCGGCTGAGATGGCTTAATTATCTTAGGCCAGACATCAAGCATGGAGGTTTTACTGAAGAAGAAGATAACATCATATTAACTCTCTACAGTAACATAGGAAGCAGGTTATTACTACTTTAAATACTAATTAACTTTATTTTAATTTAATTATAATGTTTCTAACTTTGTTCGTTTGTGCACGCATTTAATTATATATTTCTAACTTTATTTTAATTTAATTATAATGTTTCTAACTTTGTTCGTTTGTGCATGCATTTAATTATATATTATCTTAATTTGTACGGAAAATAATTATGTATCTTATTAATGGTTTAATTAATAATTAGGTGGTCTGTGATAGCTTCCCATCTGCAAGGAAGAACTGACAATGATGTGAAGAACTATTGGAACACCAAGTTGAAGAAGAAGCTATCGGCAAAAAAGACTACTCACAACAATATTAACAATACTAATTGTGATGTGATCACTATTAACAATTCCATGAATTTCACTTCAACAGCATCCCAGACCTCTTGTTATGGGAATTATTCGGATTCTTCGAATACCAATTCAAGTTTGCAGCTGGCATACTATGATCCGATGAACCTCAACTGTGATCAACAACAAAACTTGGTTTCACACCCAATTCAGTTCCCTCTTCCAGGTCTCATGGATGCTTCGGATTTTGTTGGCACAAGTGGAAATGACAATTTCAATATTGTTTCGTCGATGTCTCGTGATGTTTCAAGCCTTCCAACTTCATTTTCTTTCGAAAACAGTGATCATCACGGCACCCTGTGGTCGGGTGATCATGGAGGTGGTGAAGATGGTGGGTCGTTCTTCATGGATTTGGGGTCTGGATTCCCTTTTGATGTTCTGAAGGGCATTGATAATTTTGAAGCGAAGATGGGTGAAGTCTAATCCATATTAACTTAATTAGCTAATTAACTTTCTCTAATCCAGTTTGCCATTGCCATCAAGGTGGTGGTGCAAATCAATTGAAAGATATCGAAAAAATGACGAATAAAAGACTAGCTTATGTCGATAGATGGTTCTTAATTTTAGTAGGTGATTGTGATTAAAGTTATGCTTTAAAATTCTAGTGATTTATGTTATGTTGTATGAAATGAAGCTGCATCTATGAGAGTTTATTAATATATATATATAGATTAAGTTTTTTTATTTTTTATTTTTTTGATATGTACTTTTCCTGATCCAACGTTTTGAATACCTTAATTTTCAACGCAATACGTGTTCATTCAGTTGTGTGTAAATATTTTGGGTGCAATGTTCATGAACGTGAGTAGTGTAGTGTAGTCAGCAAAGTTTGTTTACTTACTTTATGACTAGTCAGTGGTCACGAAAGTTGCATGGGGCAGCCAATTCAAAGCTCAAGAAATTAAAACGTCCCCATCTGACAATAACGACTCATGACTCTCTCTCTTTCACACACATACACATACACGTATGTGTGCGTTTCTTCTGAGAAACTTCCCTCCACTACACTTTGAATAAGCATTAGAATATCTTCTATTATCCCCTCGATGCAAGCATGGCTTATTTCACACACACACACACACACATGTTTTTTCATTTATTTCATTATTACAATATGAAGCTTAGCTTATTAAAGGGACTTTAGCTCAGCGGTATAACCTCTCAAATTTCAAAAAAATAAAAAAAAAAGGAAAATGGGCTCGAGCCCTTGCATAGAATATGTTGATCCAGTTCTCTAAACCAACAAACAAATAAATAAAATGGGACAATGATATATTAACTTCTTTTCTTTTCTTTTTTTTAATTTTTTTTTTTTTGGGTACCACACAACTTTTTGATTAATTGGAGGATTTGTCATAGTGGTCTTGATGATAAATATTATTAATATGTTAAAAAATCCATATAATCACCTTTTTGCCTATTCATATATGGCAAATTAATTTCCTAATGAAATATGCTAAAGGGAGGAGAATTTGGGTAGATCCATAATACAAAAGACAAGCATTTAGTCAAAAACTTTCACCAAAGTAAGAAGAAAATCAACGCTCGTCCTTGAAATTGAAGTCTTATAGTATTTATATATTGGACCATGAATTATGGAGTTGTGATCATTGACCAATATATAAATATTATATATATATAATTAGTGTAAATTAAAATGTTTATGGTCCCATGCTTATCCATTGTATTGACCCTTTGTGTGGAGGTAGTGCCGGGTCATTTACTCTGTTAAACTGGTACCAGTACATTTACTATCCATGACTACCTACTGTATATTATTCGTTGGTCTGATATTTATGATTAAGACCTTTTTTTTTTAATTTTTTTTTTTTTCTTTCTCAAACCTATTTCTTTAGTGGAATGGAAGAGTCCTCGTGGGCGAAAAAGACTTTAGTGGATAGCCTGTCACGGCTGTTGTTCAACTAAATTACATCTACCTTTCAAATAAATAAATAAATAAATAAATAAAAATTAATTACATCGCTTGTCACTGCATTCATCAACTAATATATCTTTTGAAAAAGATATTAATATTTAGATCAGTAGGTTACACCTAAAATATATCTTGATTTTTGGTCTCTGTACCTTTGAATGACCAAAAAAAAAAAAAAAACACACACACGAAGTTGCACCTAAAATACTAGTCCAACATTTATCTAGATTTAAATATGTTTTAAATGAGATATATATCTTTTCTTTCTTTTTAAATGACTTGTGTACATAGCTTAAAACATATTTAAAAAAATAAAAATAAAGTGACGTATGTTTGAATTATCAGAATATCCTTGTTCTATTTTTTCACATTACGGTTCTGCTTCTTGTAAAATATTTAAGAAGAAAAAAATATTAAAATTTAATAAAAATAATTTATTTATAAATTTTTAACAAGTTATTTTACATACCCTGTGCTATGGACTCAACCTCAATTTTAACGTAGATCTTTGCCAAATACCGACAAAATAAAAATAAAAATATATTTTATCTATAAAAAAAAAAAAAAAATTCTAAAAAGAATATTTTACTTCAAAACAAACGGAACCTACGTACAAATTATATTTAATTTTGTAATATTTTATATATATTATCGCCGTATTAAGAGCATTGAAGTATTTTTCTTCTGTATTTTCATTTTTCCAAGCTGCAGTGGTAGCAAATTATAGGGGTGGCAAATTACAACACGACATGAGTTAAAAGGGTTTGGGTTGGACATAAACGGGTTTGGTCATAAAAGGGTTGACATAATTAACCCGTTTACTTAACCGTGTTGGGTTAGGATTGAGGGGTTCAATCCGTATAACCCGTTTATGACCCATTCAATCCAACATGTTATAATCATGAATATAACCTATGTAATATGTTACCTGTTTAAACACAATTATAATAAATAATTAAGTCATTTCAACCTAATTTTTCTTTTTATTTTGAATATTTGGATTAATTATGATAATTTTTTTATTATTATTTAATATTTAATTAAATATTAAATGTCTCGTTTTGATAAAGAGGTCATTCAACGGGTTAACACGTTTATCTGTTTAATAAACGGGTTGGATTAATGTTGAGGATCTTGGCACGATTATTAAATGAATTAGGTTTGAATTTACCTATTTAATATAATACCCTCACATTGACACGATACGAATACGATCCAAGAACACAAATTGCTACCCTTAACAAATTCATAGTCAAAACTTGGTTATTTAAATTGAATACTCCAATATAGAAGCTACGGTTTGAATTCACGTGCTTTGAATTGCGTTAAGGTTTAGCTTAATTAGTCTGTGAACGTTTGTTATATATGTATGGAAAAAGACGGATTGCTTTCTATTTTAATTTCAAGCATATCATGTGTGAGCGAATAATTGAACTGATGGCTAAAAGGTGCTTAATTTAATCAAGTGTTGTTGGCTCTATAATTTGGCCTTGAGTGAGGCTTCGAAATGAAAAGTTGACCACTTAATGTGGGTTAATTAGCTAGTTATTATCTGATATGGTTATACAATCCTATTATACAGTTCGGTCTTGTGGTTGAGGCTTGTTACTTAATTAAAGATTATTCAATGATTTAGATTTAGAGTTTTATTTGAATAAACTATAAGGCTAGAGCTATGGTCATGTACACGTGTTAATGTTAGTACCCAGCACTCTTTTTATATTCTCGTGACTCCAATTATGCTAGTTGAAGTCAACATATGAAAGCCTTGTTTATTACAATTCCATCAATCATACGTCCAATTAACTTCATAGTTTAATGTGGGCATCCCTCACAAAATTTCCAATAATACAAAAGCAATGAAGTGAAATATTATTGTTTGGGTTAATTACACTCATAATTCATAAGATTTGTCTTATTGACAGGTAGATGAAAGTTAGTCCATATATTAACAAAGACACCCTTGTCAAAAATTTGATCCAAACATGCCCTTAAAAGGATGAGAAAAAACAAAAATGCCCTTCAATATTTAATTCATTTTAATTGTAAAATATCATACATTTTAAAAAGACCAAAACATCCGTGTAAAATAGGGTATATTACACAACGACCCCAGCTCCATTACCACCAGTTTCTTTATGCCCGATCTCCTATTCTCTTTCTTCATCCTCCACACCACCACTGCAATCTCCACAAGAATCACCATTTCTCTCTATTCTCCACCACAATGGCCAGTGAGCCCATATTATCTCTCTATTTCGACAAATCACAAGCCCTAATTTTCACACCTTAACACACACGCATATATATATATATATATATATATAATGTATTTTGGGGAAAATCACAGAGTTCAACGTCTGTGACAACGAACGCACCATTCCGACCACTGTTATAACCATTTCTCGGAGCCTTTTGAATGACAACGATGATTGCTGTGATCATACGGCAACGAGCCTGAAGACCCACCCCTCTTCTTCTTCAACGACGGCAACGAGCCCAAAGACACATCACTGGTAATCAAATTACTTGAAAAGTTTTTGCAAAAGCGGTGACTAGGTGGCTCGGGCGGTGAAGAAGGTGGAGGGGGAGGAGGACACTGTCGATGAACAACTCGTCGGCGGAGGAGATTGGGTTACGGGAAAGTAATTTGGGTGAATTTGAATCGCCGCTTCTTCTTCCACTGCTGCAGGGTGTTGGCCTTTTTGGGTCTGGATGTTTCAATTTTGAGGTCTTCATTGTCGAAGGAGATGAGGGTTTTAGAGGGTTAGATGTTGGAAGTTTCTTTTGCTTCAATCCCTTTCATGATATATATATATATATATATATATATATCTCCCATATACCTACATCATTAAATTACGGTTATAGCCATTGCCATTCTTGTGGCGGTGGTGGTTCTTAATGGAGGCTTTCTTCGGTTTCTTCTCCTCTTACCTCCTCTGTTTAGACCCAAAAGTGCCATCCTCTTCATCCTACCTCTAATCCCATACACATTGCACAGTGACTGATACACTTACAACACATATCACATAATCAAAACCAGAATAAAAACACAAACACACACACACATATATAAACTTATCAATTTTGTGGCTAAATATTGAGACGGTGGGTGGTTGATGTTGTTTATTGGTGAGAGCTTGTAAGTAATCAATTGGTTCTTTCAGCTTGAGTTCATCTTCAAATTGGACTTGAGCATTTTTTACAATTGGGAAATGGATTGCTCTCTGTCATTGAAGTGTGTTGGGTGGGTTTGATATGTAAAGATGATTGCTAAAGGTTAAAATAGTAAATTTGTGATTTAAATAGGTCAATTGACCAGTCCAAGGCCATTAACGTCAATTTACATTATGTCAGATGTAGTAGGGATGTCATTATTAACTTTACCAAACTTGAGGAGTGTTATTGTTTAAAAATAGATCTTCATCTGACTGTCAATGGGATAACTCTCAAACAGTGTGAGTATAACCATTATTGTTTTATACACACCAAGGGACAAAGGTTGAACCTCGATCCCAATAATCAATACTTATCCATCAAATTAATAATACAGAGTATTTACTAAAGCAGCATATTGTCATTACAGTTACATAACATTTTTTTTTTTTTTTTTTTAAGGATGAAAATACACTATTATATTTTTTTTTTTGAAATTCGAGCAAATTATGTATGGATAAATTGTTTAATTTTTATTACTTTGACCTGTTTAAAAGTATAAAATATATTTTATATCTTTATCTAATTTAATAAAAAAAAAAATTTGTCAAAACAAAAACACTATTATTCTTTTTTTCCCCTTATTGTAAACGTTATATTAACTTACTAATTTTTTTTATTTAAAAATAAAACTAATTAAACTCT